AATGACTTGAGATCCAACTAATGCTCAGAAATGGGCACCAAGTCCCTGCATTCATTTACTAATCCCAACGAACTGTTTTGTGAAAAGTGGTAATCAAAAGTATTTTCAAGAAGGAGAATGACTCAGATGTTAGTGAGAAGAAACATCTCTAAATTCTTTGCAAATTTTTATCATACCCTTTTTGGATGTTTTACTGACTTTGAAAGGTTTCATAAGAGAAAAATAAGTGGCCTGTGTGGCATAGTGTATGTGTGTGTGTGTGTGTGTATCTCCTGGGACAGCTGTGAACAACACTAATGCATTTCTTTTTTTCAGGTACTATCTTTGTCAGCAGCATAGGTAAATATTCTTGAGTGGAAGGAGGCAAGCAGTTGTGTACTTTATTCCCTTTTCTTAATGATATGCTTACCTGTTAGTAAAGCAGGTAGATCTATGATATTGTTACCTGCAGATTTTTTTCTTTCCTGCTTCCCTTCACTAGAAGTAGCTACTAACTTCCAACTCCCTTGTTGGGGGGAAAAGGTGGTATAAAAATGTTAAATAAATGTATCTGTTAAAGCTTAATGTCACTTATTTTAAAATAAAAATCTCCTTTTTCTTTAAGAAATACAATCATTTTTCCTTATTCTTTATGGAAAGAACTTAACCAGTAACCTTTCAATTTTCAATTGTCATCTTTGTCTAATACAAAGATGTATTAGAGAAGAAAAACATCATAAAAGTCAGATCCTGCTGTTTTGCAAGAACTTTTATAATCAGAAATGTTTATTCTTCTTTTCTTTATGACCATCTAATATGTCCATTTCTACTCTGAATCTTTACATCATCTTCTCCAATACATGGTCTGCAGAGTCTCATAAGACTTTTTTTCAGGGTGCCTTTCATTGATTCTAAGTCAGGGTGCCTTTCATTGATCCTATTCATGAATTTACTTTTCTTATTTTACAGCATCCTCTGCCTCCAGACTCTTTTTTGTCATCTATATAGTGGCACTGTGTGATAGCTCATGTATCGATAGGATATGATGCTATTTAACAAAATCTACAGACAATAAGTAACAAAAACTACAGCTTTGATGGAAGCTATTAATATGTATCCTACAAATGTAAGAAGCATACTGAAACAGACTAGCCATGTATATTGGTATCTGGTGATACATGACCTCTAATGGGTGTGTGAATGCATAATTGTAGCGTATAACAGTTGTCTTCATGATATCTACCCCTGAATGTTATAGTCCAGTCACTCCTAAATTCTCTTGATAGCTTATTTATTTATGTTATTTTAATATCTTAACTTATATAATATTATAACATGTCCTGAGGCACAAATTTCTTAGTTACAGAATCTAAAATCTAACCTAGTATTTGCTTCTCTGATAATGAAGAGGTTTGAGTTGACAGAAGGCACTAATGCCCTCCATTCAGGAACTATATAGGGAATGAGGCAGCTGCTGTCCTTGGTGATGAAATTATTTCATGTGAATTCATAAGGAAAACAACTAGTTAAAAAGGCAGGATAATCTTGAGTATACTGTTTGTGGCTGCTGTTGGTATCTTCATAGATCTATTTGAACTAGAAAAATACAGACTCCAGTATCTTAATGTCTTGAGTTCCTGACTGCCAGGCAGAGGAAATGTTTAACTATTTTAATCATGTTTCTGTATCTCAGAAAGAAAGCCCTTATGAGAGGAAATGACAACGTCCTACCACAAAGTTATCTCTTATCAGTTATAGTCCCAGTCGATAATGATTTGTCAAACTTGGACATGTGTAAAATGCAAGGGCTGTGTTATTTACTTTGGAAAGGAAAAATTAGATGAAGCTGATAAAGACGGAGTCATGGCTTTTGTTAGGAGACAGAAACCATTAGGGACAGTCATTGTTAGCTTAGGAAAGTGTCCTTGGACTCCTCCCTCTGCCCCAGCTGAAATCTAAACCTGCTTGAATCATTCTTTGCACTTGAGGGGAGAGAAGGGCAAACAGGAGGGGAAGAAGAATGAAGACAACCTTGACAGAGATTTTGCATTTTAAATGGGGAGCAAAATGTGGACCTTAAAACAGACCCGTTTATGTGAGTCAGGAGAAACTGCCTTTTGTTCTCTTTCCCACTCCCATTTATTTAGTTTTGAAAGTTCATTTCTTATCCTTCCAAACGTATGGCATTCCTTCACGTACAGCGTATGTTGCCCTCTTCCTTTTGCCTTTCAGTAGATGTGATTCTTTTTCATTAGTGGAAGCAGAGAAAACACATCTAGCTCAAAGCAACATGAGTCAGTGCATGCTTTACATACCTTTCTCCTCACAGCACTCTTCTTGGTTCCTTGCAGTGTTCCTAGTGTTCTTCACAGAAGGGAGCATGGAGGAAAAATGATTTCTAAATAGTAGGCTATTTTGGGGGTGGAGGTAAAGTTTGTGAACCGAAGCCCCATTTTGCTCCTTTTCTTGTCTACATTTGTGTACCGCTTTCAAAGCAGGCAGTCCTTGGCTGGGGAGGACTTAACTGAATTATGGTTGCAGAGGCTAAGAAATAGCAAAGCCAATACTTCCGGGTCAGGTCACTTCAAACTGTTTGAAGCTGAGGATGATGATGTCAAGACAGCCTCACAGAAGATAGGTTTGGTTGTAAATATTTGCTGGAGCTGACAGGAAAATCTTTCTGTCCTCTCTAAATATATGTATTTTTTGGTTGGCCCAGATAAACCATTCTTTTTAGCCCGTTAGAAAGGGGCACCATTAGCTTACTCATCACAGATTTTTAGGGGAAACTGTCCCCTAATGTGGATGTTCATTCTATAAGGATGGGCCTGACATGTGAAGGGGCCAGGCCTCTGTCTGAGGAATGGCTTGGGAGCAGTTTCCTTTTGAATGAAACTAATGGTCCTGAGTCAAAGCAAAACAAAATAAATAAACTATGTAAAGATGAACATATGAACAAAGTTGTGATTGAAATTTATTTAAATTTCCTTAAGCTTTTTATAAGTATATAATTTATTGTAAATAAATTTATAATCATTCATTCTAAATAAAAGTTTCATTTCTTATACAGATCAAAATTATTTTACATGTGTTCTTATCTCTTTTCATATGTATGTGTAATTTTTATGTAGTTTAAATATTATTAATATAATTTTATTTTTCATCTTTTGAGCTTGTGTTTTGCTTAGTTGTAGTTTTCATTAGTAGGCTCTGTTTTTCTGGCAAGATAAATTTCTTTCACATCTTTACTTTGCAATTCAAGAGAGGAGACTATAAAGATATTTTGATGTTGTGGCCATTTAAAATAAGACTGCCTAAAATGATCATCTGTTGCCTCTTTTTGTTTTATTAAGATGAAAATGAGTGTCCTTAATTTTTACATGCTTTTTAATCTTTTTGTTTTTAAATACATGGTGCTTATCTGTCCATAAAATGTTTTTCTCAGTGATTTTTTAATGCTGACTTTTCTAATTGCTTTTTTTTTTTTTTAATAAATCTATGCTTAGACCATGACGTAGATCTTATGATCAAACTTAGGATTCACAGGAGATTGTTTTGAGTGATTTCAGAGTATATAGCCCTGAGAGATTCTTAAACATAGAGATTTAGTGTGCTATCATGGGTGCAAAGCAAATGAACAAAATAGTCAATAAATTTGAACCAATAAATGTAGAGAGATGATGATTTTGGAGAGATAATAAAGTATTGGGCTGCTGAGTTGTAGAATGAGTAGATTTCTTTGGAAAAGCATCTTGGTGAAGAAAGCTATGCCACCAAAGAAGAAATGATCCTGCTTGATGAAATGAGGAAACAGACTTTGTATTCACAAGTCTGCTCAACCCAATTTAGGGCCTGCTGCTTATATTCTGATGAATCCTACAATTAGCAGTGTTACAGTAAAACCTGCAGCTAGGTCTTTATTTTGATTATTTTTAATGCACTTTTGTCTGTTTTGTTTTTGCTTTATTTTGTTTTGTTCAGTATTTACTTTGTGTCCTTTTACTCTTATTTAATTCCTATAGGTCAACAATATAGGCAATAGTTTCCTTTTTCAGTTGAGAAATTGAGGCCAAAGTAAATTGTGAGTTACTCATTGTCAGGTCACATAACCAAACAGTTTTAGCACTGTGACTATCTCCAGTTCTTACCTAATGTTGTTTGTTTTACTTTGCCTTTTGATGTCTAGATTTAATCTGTCTACATTGTTCGTACTATAATTTTCTGGTATTTTGATTGCATGCTGACGTAAATATTCACTAATTCTTATGTCCTTCAGAAGTTGGCTGGCAGGCCGTTTAATTCATCCTGTGCAGCAAGTTTTGGTTTTGACCACTGAAACTTAGTCTTTTTCTTTTTTTTTTTTTCTTTTTTTAATGTTTGTTTATTTTTGGAGAGAGAGAAAGAGAGAGAGAGATTGAGAGAGAGCATGTGTGCGTGGGTAAGGGTATAGGCGGGAAAGGGGCAGAGAGAGATGGAGAGAGAGAATCCCAAGCAGGATCTGTGCCGTCAGCACAAAGCCCGACGCGGGTCTCTAACTCACCAACCATGAGATCATGACCTGAGCCAAAATCGAGAGTCAGACGTGTAACTGACTGAGCCACTCAGGCACTCCTGAAACAGTCTTTTATGTAGCCTACCATGTGTCCAAGAAGATACAGTCAAGTTGTCAAAGTCATGTTACCATCTTCTCATCCCTTTTGGAGGCCCATAGCCTGAAATACATCTCTAAAAGCAGATGCAGGGCCAGTGACATCTTCTGTTACTCTTGTCTGTTTTCATCCTTCTGTTCTGTGTCAGCCTTGCTATCTTCGGTTATTAATCTCATGGTTAAAATACCCAAACTGGGTTTATGAGAGCATGGTTTGTTTGTTTGTTTGTTTGTTTGTTTGTTTTGTGTTTTTCTCCTAGAAACTAGAGCTGACTTTTATTTTTTTACACTTGAGTAATAAAAAAATAAATGCAGTTTAATGCTCCTAATAGCTTTGTTTGAATATTTTGTGACAATTTTGTTTGTCTTGCAGGTACCTGGAGCCCAAGATTTGGTGGATTTCTCTCCTGTTTATCGATGTCTACACATATATTCTGTCCTGGTGAGTCTTTATCTAGCTCTGCCTAATAAAGAGGTATATTGAGTTCAAAACTCTTCTTTCTCATTTTTTATAGTTTTTCTGTTTATTATTAAGAGTAAGAAAAAAGAAACTATTATTTAAGGAGTATTAATTACAAAAAAAGAATCCTTTCTTTTCTTCTTGAATCTTTTGTTTGCCATGTAATTGAGCTAAGCAAATAACATTAATTTCTATCAGTCATCAACAAATAATAAGATTATACCTAGAAATAGTCACACACTCAGATTTCTATTCTTAATTTAATGATGTAGTTATTTAAATAACAACCTATCTTTATATATTAAAATAATATTTGTAAAAACTTTATCTTTTTATTCCTGATGACACTTACTCCTATGCAAAGAGAAACCTCTCTGGGGGCGAAATTATTATGGGTGTTAATGGTATTATAAGAAATAGCCCTTTCTCTATCTTGGTAGTCACCTACGTGCAGATATACAGATATAAAGGCAATCAAAAAATTAAACTAGGAAGCCAAAGTATCATTAAAGACCAATTGATGAGAGAAGTCCATTATTGGTATTTTTTAATAACAAAGTTCTATAAAGATTCTATCAGGTTGTTTTATAATATGATGGAGTAAGTCTTACTTAAGTCTGTTACACATTTTCTTTCTTCATATATCTAATATAGTGTCACTTAGTTGTTACTCCAGACAGTTTGGGACACTGGTCTATGGACTTCATGGCTGGAGTATTTTGGGGTGATTTCCATTAGTTTGGGAAGACTTGGTAATTTTTTCTCCTCTCCTTCATCCTCCCACTTCTTGCTAATTTCCTTTTCCCCTCCTCCCTTCTTTTGCCTCTCCACCCCTTGTCTCCATCTGTCATTCCTTGTTCTATAAAGATGGAGGAGGTCATAGATTGAGTTGTCTCAAGGCACCTAAAATAAGTAATTTTTTTTTTCAATCTCAGGTACCAATAATTAAATAAATCATATTCATCTTAGTTTGTGACACAACACGCTATTATCGTTATTTCCTATCAGTCCCCCTCTTGTATTTTTTTATCTTGTTTGTTTCCATTCATCCCCTATCCACAAGCCCACAACTCTTATCTCCAAATATACAAACTCTAATATGTTTAATGTCTGGTAATGGTTGTGTTTGTATCCTTGAAAAATATAGAGTAATTTTGTATATGTAGGTATTTTTAATTTACTCAAATGGTGTTATCTTATGGATCTAGTTTTTTCTTGTATTTTTTTATTCAGCCTATTTTTAATATCTAACCTTGTTATAGTCTATATGTCTTACTCATTGCCTCCCACTTCTACATGATTATTAACAAATGGTTTGCATTTGCTGTGTTTTATCTATTACTTCAGTGATCAACTCTTAAATTGCTTCTAACATTCTGCTGTAATAAGTAGGACCCTGTATGGACTTGGGTGTAAGTTTCCAAGGTTTCTATACCTAGGTTGGAATTGCTGGGTCAGAAGGTATATATATAATTTTAATTTTAATTTTTGATAACCTGATGGGTATCAAATGATGTCTCTTTGTTTTAATTTGCATCTCTTTGATTACTGATAACATTGTGCTTTTTATAGACTCCCCAATCATTTAAGATCTTTTTTCTCTGAAATGCCTATTTTTGACCTTTGTTCAGTTTTGTTTTGCCTTCCTTGTTTTGTTTTTTTCTCTTTTCTGGAAAGAGAAATTTCAGAAATTCCTTTTATTTTTTTTTTATTTTATTTTTTTTATTAAAAAAATTTTTTTTTTCAACATTTATTTATTTTTGGGACAGAGAGAGAGAGACAGAGCATGAACGGGGGAGGGGCAGAGAGAGAGGGAGACACAGAATCGGAAACAGGCTCCAGGCTCTGAGCCATCAGCCCAGAGCCTGACGCGGGGCTCGAACTCCCGGACCGCGAGATCGTGACCTGGCTGAAGTCGGACGCTTAACCGACTGCGCCACCCAGGCGCCCCCAGAAATTCCTTTTATGTTGTACATATTGACAATGGAGGATGTTGCAAATGTCTTTTTTTCCAGTTTGCCCATAGACTTTACACTATGGCCATATTATCTTTCATTAACAGGAGTCCTTGATTTTGATATAATCAAGTCCATCAATTTAAACCTTGTAGTTTGTACTTTTTAAGTCTTGTTTAAAAAAGAAAAGCCCCTCTCTATTCCAATGTCATAGGGCATTCCCTTTATGTTAACTTTAACTTTTACCCATTACATTTTGATATTGATTCATCTTGGGTTCACTGTAGTTATAGTATGAGGTGTAGGAATCCAACTTAATTTTTTTTATTTGATGAACTCAGTTTTACCAGTCCTATCTACTACATAATCTGTATATGGCCCACTGATTCTTGGAATACCTTGGGCATATACTAAGTATCTCTATATATATTTTGGGAAGAATTGACAACTTTCTACTGCTAATTCTTGGTATTCATGGAAGAAAAAAGTCTACTTTTAAATTATTTAGTTAAGCTTTGTTTCTATGTTAATGGTCTTGGGCATTTTTTAAGTAGTAGCAAAATATAGTTGTTTTTTTTTTTACAATATTCTACCTTACTTTTTAATTAGTAATTGCTGATATTGAGGAATGCTCTCGATTTTTGTAAGTTAACTTATATCTGGCAACCTTGCTCAACTCTTTTATTAGTTATTATGGTTTGTTTTTTGGTTTTCAGTAAATTTTCTGTGTGGTTGTTCATAATGTCTACAGATACTGACTTGCTTCTTTTCTTCCTACCCATATATCACATTGTTTTTTTACTGTTGTTGTATTGACCAGGATCATCATTAGTTACTTTGTTGTTCAGGAAGGTGATAATAGGCATCCTTGTTTCATTTTTGATCTCTAACAGCATGTATCTAATGTTTCTCAATTAACTGATGTTTGCAATAGGTTTTTGGTAAATATTCTTTATCTAGTTATTCCTAGGCTCCTGTAAATTTTTTATAAGAATATAAATAAATGTTGAATATTATTGGATTTTTTTCAAATATATTGCTACAGTTCTGTGGTTTTTATACTTTAGCTCATGAATGTACTAATTAAGTTTCATTGATAGATTTTTGTGATCTTAAATGATTCCTATATTCTTTAGATAAATCCAACTTAATGAGGACATATTACTGCTTTTTTAAAAAATACTCTGTGAAATTTAACTCCTTTTATTTTTTTTATTTTAAACCTGTTTTGTATTTATATATGGTTTTTGTTAAGTCTCAGAATTGCAATGTCAAGTGTACTTTTCCTCTCAAATAGTGTAAAAGTATGAAAATCAATTTGTATAGTTTAATATTATATCTTCAGTACCAACAACAGTACTTGGCATATAGTAGGCACTCAGTAAATATTAGTGGAATGAATAAGTAAGTGGTAGCTAAAAGAATGCAGTACATTTGTTTGAGCATATGCTAGCTCAAACTTTATTACTCATTTATTCACTAAACACTTACTGAATTTTTGTCCTGCATGAAATGGATATGGAGAGCAACGATGTATAAATAAGTCAAGGACTTATGCTTTTAAAAAAATTACGATCTACCTACCAGGAGAGAAGTTATAATCTTTGAATGACTAGAATATAACAGCACTGTATCTCATCACTGTGTATCTGTTAGTTTTTTAAACTTTGTTAAGATTTTATGGTATAGAAAATGTGACAAGTTTTCTTCAAATGAGAACTCTAATAGTGGTTAATAAGAGTACTGAAGTAATTTATTTGCACACTCACTAGCTGTGTGGTGTTAGGCAAGTTACCGAAACCGTAGCTTTCTCACATATGAGCTATGGTAATAATGATCTGCTTAGTGCACTTAAAGGTATGTTCCAATGGTGCCTCGCTCCGTCTTTGGTACATGATTGGAATTTAATACATGGCCGTTAATCTGGCAGGAGTTATGTGTCTCTGATGCTGATTATTAGGCACATTATTGGTACTTTTTAAAGTATATGATGTAAAGTATAGACATATAGATAGAGGTTCTAGTCTCTGCCATCAACAGAGTTTATCAATTATTCTAAATGTACACGTTCTTAAATATACAAAGTCGATGTCATCCTAAACGAGAAGTTTAAAAATTTTTAAATAAATTCCACATGCTAATATTCTGTAGTGTTGCAATATTTGGTATTCATAAAGGTTTTATAATAATTTGATAAGACATTGTTTATATGGCAGAAACAAGCTTCTTCCCTCTTTCATAGTGTTTCCTAATTTTGAAAAAGTACAACCAGTGGTAAGAGCTCAGCTCTGTTTCTGGAATACATGTTTATTTTTTGGACATTGCTGTTCCAGAGCTAGATGGACTTTAAGCACTAAAATGTCTCTTTTGTTAAAGGAAGGGCTAGACGCATATGACTTCTAGAGTTGACCCTTTTCATAGCTTTTGGGGGGCCGTAATTTGTTACTTCTCTATATTTGTTACTCATTCTCACATCACTAATATGTGTTACTATATAGTGAAGGACATCTCTTCATAATAATGATGACAAAGATATTTAAAAATGAATTGCTTAATATAAAGATTTGTAACATAAATATATTTTTCAAATTTCCGGATGTAGTTAATATTAACATTTTGGCATATTCCACAGGCAGCACAAACTCTGTATGTTTCAAAATGAACTCATTATCTCACCCCTTCCCTAAAATCTACTGTTTTGGATTTACCATGATCTCAGGCAATAACAGCATTCTATCAGTTCCCCAGGCAGAAACCCAAACCTTTTCGTTTTTCTTAGTACCATATCTAAATCGCCATGCCTTGCAAATGTTACCTCCTAAATACAGTTTTACTCTCTTTCTCATCCTCCCCTATCCTAAAATGATTGTCCTAGACATCGGGATTATTGAAAACATTCTAGCTGCTCTCCCTTCCTTATAGTATAAATCCCTGACTCCCTTCTCACTGTGATGATAGTGATCTGTGCATCATGCAAATCTGGGATATATGTTATCTGCTTAAGATTCTCTAATTGGTCATCTATTG